GGTGTAGCTCCATGGATGCAGAATCTCCGTTTCATTTACTGCTGTGTCTCCGGTGCCTCTTACATACCTGAAGTAGAGTGGAAACTTGATATATATCGGTTGTGTGAATGGACACAGAGTTAGGAAAACGGTATTATTAACGTACCCAGAAATGGACAGACTCACAGGGATAAACTGACCCCAACAGAAATCACAAGCAACAGAAATAGATGACAGTTGACAGGTAGGGATGGCCCGGGATGTGTTTGAATCTCACACAGCCCTAGTCTTGTCCTTTAACCTCTCTTCCCCAGAGGCACTCCCTCAGTAACATGCTTTCTACTTGTCTTTATATCCAAAACTCTACAATTTAAGGCTATAGGAATAAAAAAAAAAATACATCTTGCTCTAGTATATATGGGGTAATTCAGATAAAGCCATAAAGAAAAACAGACTTCGCACGTTTGACCGTATTACATAAGGAAACCGCAGGTTAGTTTTTGAAATGTGTGTTTCAGTTTTACAAGCATGTTACTAGGATTGAAATAGGATTCATTTTTATCCTTTTAAGGCTGCTAATTTTAAGCTTTGTGGGGCGGGACCAGAGCAGCGGGCAGTGGAGCGCCGGGTCCCCCCTGCCTGTGAGCGGCGCTCTCTGCGAACTGCTGTGATCCCTGTACCTTGTCAGGGTTTCCACTCTTGCCGGTGGGAACGGGAACTGTTCCTGGCTCTCGGTGAGCTTCGGGAGCTGCTGCTGCCGCTGCTGCTCGCAGGTGCCCCTCTCCCCAGCCGTGGGTACCGCACACACGGATGCCCACGGCGCTCGGCTGGAGGCCCTCGTGTTCTCCCTGCGCTGCGCTCTCTGCTCCAGACTCTGCTCTGGGAGCCGGAGGTTCTTTGGCCTCCCAGGCTCCTGGCTCTGTCTCCTCAGACACAGAGACCGCAGGCTCCACCGAGGTTTCCGCTCCCCTTTCCTCTTCCCATGAGCAGTGATTTGGGGCATCCATCGGGCTCAATTCGTTTGTTCCCCGTCCTTTGTAGATCAGTTCGAGTGGAACTGCCTGTGCTGTCTAATGTCCAGAGCCTGAAAACTCTTGCCTCGTATATTTTGTCCAATTTTTTTAGTTGTTACAGGCAGAAGGGTAAATCCACTGCGTATTACTACATCTTTTTCAGAAACAGTAGGATTTGTTTTATACTAAAAATTTTGTTATCCAGAAAATTTGTATTTAAAATATTTTCTGTAAAAGTATTTGTTTTATAGTTTATTAGCTTGATACATTTCTTCGTCACTGACGTGTTTTATGTTGCTTACCCAATCTTAGAAGTAGAATAAGAATTTTAAAAATTGTTTATCTCTTTACACTGGAGAACCTTGCCATTTTATGAGGAAAGTCAAAGTCTCTTTTAGACATGTCATGAATGGAGGCAACTGAAGAATACACATCAGTATTGAAAGAAAAAAAATTAACAGAAAATTCCGGAAACCAGCTGACAGTGGTTGCTGTGGCACAAAAGAAAGCTCAAGCTATCAGTATTTTCTAGTGTGGAAATTTAATGCAGTTTAAGAAGGAAATTGGGAGAGAAAAGAATAAAATGGTAGTTACTCTGAGGAAATGAGCCTTAGACTCATGAAAGAGCAAAAATGTTAAGAAAAATAGCCAGTCACCTGTCAGCCAGATCTTATTTTCTAAAAACCATTCTCCACCCAGAAGGCATCAAGGCTCCTTGGAGAAGTGGCCGGTTCCAGAGCCGGGCGGGGAAGGTGCAGGTGATCCTCTTGCTCTGCCAGAAAGCACGGAAGTGCTCAAAACAGATGTAGAGCTGTGATGAGAGGATGTAGGAGGCTTCTGAAGGGGCTCCCATTGGCAAAACGAGGGACAATTTGAGGACCAAAATAAATAAAGACAGGAATAGATGATAACCCAGTGACAAAAATGAGAATCTATGGTCCCATCCTGATAAATAGAAAGGTGGATAAGTAAGTGATTGAAGAAGGAGGAAAGGTCTTCCTTACAGCAGAGTCCCTTCTGAGAAATGGGGAAGGCATGGTGGGGTTCGCACTGCGCCAGGTGGGGTGTCAGGTATTACGATACAAAATGGTTAAGAGGTTTCACTTAACCCTTTTGCTATACTATAAAGTTGAGAGAGACAGGCAAATGAATAAGTCTTTTATCCATTATCTTAACTATTAGAGTTTAATCCTCCTAAGGACAAGATTAATCTCTTCTGTATTACTGTGACACCTTATATAAAATAGTTGATGAATTGATACATGTAATGTAATGGGATATATTAAATGCGAGGTGACATTTTCATTTTATAGATGTTTGTGGTAAAACCGTGGAGACAAAAATGGAATAAAAAGAAGGGGGAAAAACCACCTAAATTTCCAACTATGTTCCAACCAGTGTTAACATTTTGGCATATTTCTGTCTGGTCTTACATGCTAGTTTAAAGACCACGTGAATATACACTTCTGTATCTGTATATTCTTTTAAATACACCCATTTTCTTTATTTCAAGGTGTTTGACTTTACGATGCAAATTGTACTTTGACAACTTGTTATCTCAGCGGGCCTATTGTGGAAAAATGAATTTTGACCACAAGAATGAAACTCTTACTATATCAGTAAGTATCTCAACTCTTTGCATGGTAATTATTTGGAGAATTAATGGATACTTTGCCAAAATGTTGAAAGTTAAATTGACCTTACCAGCTAAAGCTGCAATTGTATATGTATTTCTAAAAATATCTTTACCCCCAGACAACCACATTATTTTCTTATGATGCAAATTAGGAATTTTATTTCAGTGACAAGTGTCTACCTTCTCTTTCTATTCCACTGGTTTCTTTTTTAAATTATGTGGGACATTCTAGAAGGTCCATATTCTCTGGTCTCACACTATAGGAAACCAAGAAAGGATTTCTCAAAGAGTATTCTACCCCATGTAATTGTGTACTGCTTATTTCTGAGGATGTCTAGATCTCTCCTTTTTTGGGTGGAGAAAACTACCACATTCAGCTTTGTAGAGTCAGTGTTTATGGATTCTTCCATAGTTACATGCGTCGAAAGAGGGAGTGTGGGATATAGCATTAAAATTTTATAGTCAGGAGATCAGGAGCAACGACTTACCCTAAGTAATTAGAGTAAATTTTTCAAATAATTGCTTACTACTCTTAGTTGCCATAAATTTATACTTCTAGATTAATACTTCAAATAACTAATAATTTGCAATACATTTTTTAAGAAAGGACTCATCTGAAATGTTTAAGGAATAATAATTAAGAAGAAGAACGACATCACATTTAAAAATTATCAAAAAGCTTAAACAGGAACTTCATAAATTTAAGTATCCAAATGGCAAATAAGTACATGAAAATGTGTTCAGTGTCATTAGTCATTGGAGAAATACAACTTTATACCATAGGTTATGATCATATTGCTACTAGTGTGACTAAGATGAACAAGACGGATGACGCCTCGTGTTGGCGCGGGGTGGGTCCAGACCCTCCTACCTTGCTAGAGGGAGTGTAATTTGGTGGCACTAGCTTGGACACACGTCTGGCAGTGGCTCTTAAGCAGTTCCACTCTTTTCAAAAACTGGTAAAATTCATCCATGCGATTAAAGTAAAAAATACTGGTTACCTTCTTGTGGTTAATAGTGACTTGTAGAGAACACAGAGAATCTGCTGAGATGCTGGAAGCGTTCTGTCTGATCTGAGTAATGGTCACCCGCACACAGAGAATCTGCTGAGATGCTGGAAGCGTTCTGGTCACCCGCTGTGTGTGATTGTGTGTGTTTGTGTGTCTCTGTGTAAAAACTATTCTGTGTGTGTGTGTGTGTGTGTGTGTGTGTGTGTGTGTGTGTAAAAACTATTTGAGCTGAACATTTAAGCTTTGTGTTCCTTACTGTATATAATTTATACTCTAATAAAAATGAAGAAAAAAAAAGACAGTATTAGGAGTGTTTGGGTAATTTATCCCCAGAACTAACCATATAAGACAACTGAAGGTAGATTTTCCAACATCATCCCTGTTATTCAAAAGAATATTATTGTTTAAGAATCTAGTTTCTGGTCTTCATTTATCAAAAAATAAAACTGAGCTGAAGTCCCATGGTAACTTAGTAAAATAAGAAGTAAAATTTAGATCTTCACAATTCATCTAGGGCTTCATTCATTAGATTGATACAAAATGCAGATTTGGAGCAAAAGATTGCATCCTGTTACTTAGTTCTTACTTTCATATGGGGTTTTTATTTGGTTAGTTGGTCGGTTTGGTTTGGCTTTTTACTGTTTCTGTTAATGTTGCTTTTTCTTTTGGATTTTCATAGAGGATTCAGGCTTACAGATGATAAACATAAAATTTCACTGTATGCTTAAATTAGAATTTTTCATAACCCTTAAAAGATTAAAAAATACATGAAAGTTTACTTAAGAGCTACATACTTTTTCAAATAGTTGTTTGGAAAATTTGTGAAGCTGTGTGTCTGCTAAAACGTGTTATAAAACTTAATGATGTAAAACAAGTTGGTTTGCTATTCATTTCATTAATTGCTTTTATATTGTTTTTTATTGTCCCCATGGACCCTTGTTAAAGGGAATTTTTTCTGAAGAGATTTTGTGAATTTCAGTTCATTGCTGCTATATTCTTTGGCTGGTATGAACCTATTTAAATTGGTCCTGTGTCTTTTTGACATTCAATAATTACTTGTAAAGCAATTTAACCACCAGATGTCACTGTAATTCAAGCAACAAAAGATTATGTTGGCATTTATAAATGTTTGAAAAAAATAAAACAATCCCATTTACAGTAGAATCAAAAACGATAAAATAGAATAAATTTAACCAAGAAGTTGTAAGATCTGTATCTGGAAAACTATGACACATTGATGAAAAAAATTGAAGAAACCACAAATAAATAGAAAGATTTCCTGTGTTCATGGATCAGAAGAACTGTATTGTTAAAATGTCTATGTTACCCAAAGCCATCTATAGATTCGGTACAATTTCTGTCTAGATTCCAATGGCATTGTTCACAGAAAAAGAAAAAACAATCCTGAAATTCATATGGAACCAGAAAAGACCCCAGATAGCCAAAGCAACCTTGACAAAAAAGAACAAAGCTGGAGGCATCACACTTATTGATCGTTATGGATTTGTAACATAGTTTGGAATCTCCTAAAGGAAAACACGAGGAAAAAGCTCCTTGATATTGGTCTTGTCAGTGATTTTTTTGGATGTGACACTAAAAGGACAAGCCACCAAAGCAAAAATGAGCAAAGTGGAACTACGTCAAACTAAAACGCTTCTGCACAGCAAAAGAAACAAAAACAGCTTACAGAGTGGGAGAAGATATTTGCAAACCATATATCTGATAAGGGATTAATATCCAGAATATATAAGGAACTCATACAACTCAATAGCAAAAACATATCCAGTTTAAAAATTGGCCAATAACCAGAATAGACATTTTCCCAAAGAAGAAGTAAAGATGTCCAGCAGGTACACAAAAAGATACCCGATCAGAAAGACAAGAAATAACAAGTGTTGGCGAGCATGTGGAGAAATGGACACCCTGGTGTAGCCCTTATGGAAAACAATATAAGGTTCCTCAAGTTAAAAATAGAACTACCAATTCTGCTTCTTGGTATATATCTGAAGGAAATGAAACCACTGTGTCAAGAGATATCTGCACCTCCATGTTCATTCCAGCATTATTTACAGTGGCCAAGACATGGAAACAACCTAAGTGTCCGTTGACAGATGAATGGTTGAAAGAAAATGCGATATATACACAAGCACAGTCAAACACAGTGCAATAGGAAATCCTGTTGTGACAGCATGCATGAACCCTGAGGGCATTACACTAAGTGAACTAAGTCAGACAAATACTGTGTAATCTCACTTACATGTGGCATCTAAAAGGCCAAACTGTCGGAAACAGAGTAGCATGGTAGTTGCCAGACTTCGGGGTGTGGGGGAAATGGGCGAAGGTGGTCGGAGGGTATAAGCTGTGTAAGATGAGTATACTCTTCCCTCTGTGTTCTTCTAGAAGTTTTATGGTTTCAGGTCTCCTATTAATTTTGTGTTAGTTTTTGTGAGTGGTATAAGATAAGAGTCCAGTTTTATTCTTTTGCGTGTGAATATCCAGTTCTCCCAGCACCATTTATTGAAAGAGACTATCTTTTCCCCGTGATATATATTCTTGGCTCCTTTGTCAAATAGTAGTTGACCACATATGCACGGGTTTATTTCTGGGCTCTCGATTCTGTTGCATTGGTCTGTGTGTCTGTTTTCATGCCATTTCAGAGCAGTGACTGTATTTAACACTATATACTGTATCGTGTACTTGAAAGTTGCTCAGAGAGTAGATCTCAGAAATTCTCACCACACACACACAAAGGTAACTATGAAGTGATGGCTGTGCTAACTAACCTTATTTTGGTAATCGTTTCACAATATATTCGTGTATCAGATCATCACGTTGTACACCTTAAACTTCCACAGTTGTTATATATCAATTTTTCTCAGCAAAGCTAAAGCGGGGAAAATTATAGCTACTTCAGGAGGACTAATTCAAACTATTAATTTTGACCGCTAACTTTTGCCTAACATTGCATTGTTATTATTAAACCTTTGGAATTTTGTTACGTTAGATCCAGTACATTATGGTGAGTAAATGTTTTCAATTTGATTCTCTCACAGTAAAACAAAAACCACTGTTGCATACCTCACCATTTTATATTTTAAATGGAATAGATGTTTCTTCCATGTTTTATTACCTCTTTTTTTAAAACTCTGAACCTGTTGTTTCTGATGTTAACCAACCTTTTTTGTAAAGAATTTAATGTGACTCTTTCTATACGTTTTTTGTTAACTCATTCAAGGTTCAGCCTGGAGAGGGAAACAAAGCTGCTTTCAATGACATGAGAGCCTTATCTGGAGGTGAACGCTCTTTTTCCACAGTTTGCTTCATCCTTTCTCTGTGGTCCATTGCTGAATCTCCTTTCAGATGCCTGGATGAGTTTGATGTCTACATGGTAGGGTTAAATTTTAAAATCTCTTAATGTTTTTGGTAGGGGGGAGGGCGGGTGTGTATTTTGAAAGGAAGCAGTTCTTTCTTTAGTTTTATCGATAATGAAAGATCTTGCCTGGACACTTAAAAGTGTGGTAAGTGGTGAGGAGACACCCCGTGCCGACCTGTCCTGGCGTCATCCTCCTCCTTCCGGTCAGGGGTGCCCATACCCTCCGCCGGGTGGGCTCTCCTCAGCCTCATCCCCAGTCCATGTCCATCTCCTGTGCTAACAAGAAATTAAAACCAGTTCACCCCCCCTTGCTTGATGAACTCTGGCTGCTATTTGTTCTCCCTCTTTCTTCACAGCCACTTTGCAAAGAGCAGCGTTTATAACACCAGGGAGTAGGAACGTTTGACTTGGAAGTTAAAAAACCTGAGATGGAGACCTGTCTCTGCCGCCAGTTACCCACAGGACTGTGGGCAAAGTATTTGTCCTTTTTGGGCCTCAGGATGGCATTTTGCCCCCATTGAAATTGTTTAGAAAAATGTACCCAAGTTCTGAGAACCAATCCAAAGGAAACGAGTGAATATTTTTTGGTGCATTGTCAGCTTTGTTATTAAAGGATAGGCCTCCCCAGGGCAGTGTTTTGAAAGGACAGTATTTCATTTGTGCAAGCGCTAGTTATTTTTTACTTTATGTTAGATTACTTTACACATATGCCTGATGGAAGAATTTATATCATAGGAGCCACTGAGCAATACAGGCAGGGCATGGGTGCCCTGTCTGCCTCCCAAGCTCCTGTCCTGCCACCACGCTCTGCTGTCACACGCGGCTTCCGACAGACCTTTAAAAATATATGCGTTTATTTGTGTTTTCAGCTTTCGGTTTTCAAGGGAGTTGAGATATTTGGATTTTTTTTTTTTTTTCATTTTAACTCATTTAGTTATTTAATTCATTTAATTTCAAAACCTGTTATAAGTAAATGTTCTTTTTCTACACACTGATGTGCTGTTTAACATTTTAAAGATTCAGTGAGAGATTGGTCTGTAAATTCAAAGTGGTTCACGTACAAATTGTTGAAGGCGAAGTTACTGTTGATATTGTTCTGAACGGCTATTACTGTACAAATTAGATTCATTATATAACACTTAGTTGTGTCTTTTGAATACTTTTTCATTACTTAAAATATATTTGTGGGAGGGAGCTATACTTATAAATACTTTGACTGTAGCATTTACCTGGGAGGTGTTTGTATTCAGTATTTTCCCCTAATAGTTTCGGGTATTATCTTTCCCGATGCTCTGCATCAGAGGGCAGGTGATGGGTGACCCCTGGGTGAAAGCCCAGGGCTTCGTAATAGCCAGCAGAGCAGCGTTTTTACAGGATCGCGAGGACACAGCAGTGCCCCTCACTTCCGCCTTTGTTCTTCAGGACATGGTTAACCGGAGAATTGCGATGGACATGATACTGAAGATGGCGGATTCCCAGCGCTTCAGGCAGTTTATCTTGCTTACTCCTCAAAGCATGAGGTAACTTTTAAAAACTCTTCTGCGAATGTATATATCAAGTATATAAACGGGGAAAAAGAAGTCTTTTATAATCTTAATTTTTAAAGTGCAAATGCATAAATGGCCCAAAGAAAGAACAAGGATTAGCCCCTATACTCGTTCCAGAGATTTAAGATCTGTTTTTTCGGATATTTAAAATTTCGTTTGTGTCATCTCCCTCCCATAACAGAAGCAAGTTGATTTGAATGTGATTATTGGTTTATTACTGTTCTATTTTGAATCTGCTCTTTGGTTATCATGACCAACGAATGTGAAATATCTGTAGTAATTCTGTTTAGACTAAAGAAACAATTAGGATTTTCCTAGTCTTGGCTCTTTTCCTGGTCAGGTAAAAGGACCGGTTTTTCTGTAGAGCTCTACCCTGCTGTCAGGCGGCACTGACTGGGTATCTACCCATAAGGTGCCAGGCACGGTGTCACTGAGAGTCTACTCTCTCTAAAGTGGTCACTTTGATCATACGGGGCTTAAATTTGTGATTAGAAATATTCAGGTAACTCTTGGCTAGACAGGAAGAAAAAGAGTTAGAAATAGGTTATATGTAAATCTTCACGTTCATATCCCTCCAAACTGAAAACCCATGGCATTTAGCAGGATGTTAATTTCTTAAAAAAAAAAAAAAAATGAAAACAAATTATTTCCTTATTACAAATTATATTTCTCCTGGAACTTCAGATGTTAGACATATCTCCCTATTAGCGGATAACAGCCATTTAGATTTATATTTTCATGAGGTAGCAGTAAAATTTTTTTTTTGTAATGTGAAAAAAATTTCTTAGAAATTTGAATAATTTATTTTACTTCCTCTAGCTCACTTCCATCAAGTAAACTGATTAGAATTCTTCGAATGTCCGATCCTGAAAGAGGACAAATGACATTGCCTTTTCGACCTGTGACTCAAGAGGAAGAAGAAAATCGAAGTTGATGTGTAACTTAATATGCCACGTCCTCATGATGAACGATTTGTGAAGGGAAAAAATTCAGGGCTATTTGACGAAATAAAATGAAACTAAAGATATTCTAAAATAAAAGAGATTCCTTTATATAACTGACCACAATAAAATATGTAAATAAGTTTAAAAACCAACTACAACCAGCAATTTAAAATTACTATTACTTTACTTTGAGAAAGTCAGTTTCATAGTATTGGTTTTAAATCTTTTTAAGTTTGTTTCTTTGTTTTATTTTTAACCATCTACTTTTATAGATTCTTTTTCAGAAGTAAAATTTTGTACATATGTACATGTACATATCTGTTTCATTTGGGTTCATTTCTATAGTATTTTATAAGAATTAAAATAAAAGTTTGAGTATCTGGTTATATTTAGTTTTGCTTTTCCAGAATATTACATTCTCACTGCAGGGGGTGGGGTCCACAGGCAGTCTGTGGATGGGGACCAGTTTATAGTGGATTTTTTGTCTGGTTTTTGCTATTAATTATGAGAGACTTACACAGAACTATAAAAACTTTGGTCGAAATGCCTGCACAGGTCACTTTTAACCCTAGCGATACGACGATAGATTTGGGCTGTACTTTTAATTTGCCTACCATATTTCGTCAGATTTAACATACTGTCTCTTTATAAGACACTTCCGTGGAGCAGTAGAGCACTGCCAACTTCCAACACGTGGCCTTTCCCTCAGTCCTGTCGCTGTCCTTCACGCAACTAAACGTCTAACCCATGTGGGAACTGGCTGACAGCACAGTGCTGCATTCTGGCCTGCAGCGTGTTTGCCTGGTTTAAAACCCCAGTTTTCAATTCAGGGGTGTGCAAGCTCTGGCTCAGCCACAAGAGAACACAGGCCAAAAGGACTGTGTAGACGAGGCTGAGGAGAGGTCTGGGGAAATGGGGGTCAGAGGTGGCTCCCCTTGGAGAGGGTAGCCAAGAGCCAAAGGCCAACCTTTTGATGGTGAGCTGGCATCAGTTATAAGATACATCCTAATTATAGCGTTGTTAAAAGATGTGCTTCTTAGAATGATAAAATATAGTACAATGTAAGAAATGGTACCCATGAACTTTTTTAAAAAGTTTGCTACTAAGATTAATGCTAAACTTTTCAAAAAGACAGGGATATCTAAAAGCAGCATTCCCTGTATTAGTAGCAATAAGTACTTAGGAGGCTGAAAAGGAAATATTTTAGGGAGAAAAGGCAGTATTTTAAAAGCAACAGCACTTCTATAGTTACTGAGAAAAACTGGATTTTGTTATTTTGGTGGAGTAAGGGAGTTTAGTCTTAAACTGAGATCAGTTAGCAAATGGGTTCAAGAACTTGTGCTTTTCTAATCTAAGAATTTACAGAAACAGGAAATCTTTGCTGTTTTAAACATCCCCTACCAGTCATAAAAAGACTGATTTCTAATTTACATTTATAATTATTTTCTATCCACACTATTTTAACAAACACATGCCTTTCAAATAAAAAATGAAGTAGAATATACCAAATGCATAAACTTGTATGAGTTAAATAATTTCATTGTCTGGATTTTCGTGATGGCTTTCGAATGTTATGATTCTTAATACCGAATGAAAAATAGAATTCTCAGGTATCTTAGTGTCCCTTATTGAGTCAAAGACTGTTCATTGTTTTGGCCTCACAAAGTTTTGGTTTTAACTATCATAAGTGAAAATATCTTTAATTAATGTTCTAATTAATATTAACAGTAATTAGAATAAAACAAGAAAAAGGGAATTGTTCTTTTCGAATATGTGTAATTTCTTAAAATGCAGCATTAAGTTTATATGTGTTGAGTGACTTAACTACATCATACATATGACTCCTTGACCCCTAGTTTATCATCAGCGCAGCTATGACTGACTTGAATAATGCTCACCCAGTCTGACCCGAGCTGTACTTAAAGCACAGGGCCTAAGAGACCCAGGACATTGTATCAGCACTTGGAACTGTTGTCTCTGGGCCAGAAACTTGGTTGTGCCAGTGTTTGAGGCACCATCAGTGTCCTGGGTGTTTGTGGTGGTTTCCTAGCTCACAGTTTCTTGTCGAATGGATGAATTGGATCATTAGGCTCTGTTCTCTAGACTTATTTAATGATCCCAAAAGCAGACAGAGTATTTAGAGAAAAAGAGCTCAATAAAAAATGAATAATATAGCACTGCACTGTCTGATACTGTCTATACTGGCTACATGTGGCAAATTAAAACAATTAGAATGAAAAAAATTCAGTTCCTCAGTCACACTAGCCATACTTGAAGTGCTCAACAGCCACATGTAGCTAGTGCAGATAGACATGTTTCCATTGTCACAGAAAGTTCTGTGGGACAGCACTGTAGAAAGAAACAACTTCTCTAGGCACAATCTAAAAATGCAAACCTGCCTTTAGAGGTCTCAATGGAATCTGCCTGCCTTCCTCAAGGTTAAAAGAGTCAGAGTTTTATTCCATCATTAAAGATAACACCTAGTGTACTTTCTGGCAAGACAGATGTCCCCTTTCCTGTGGCTTCTCATCCTGCTCATCGTGTCCGCCTTCCATGCAGGTGTGTAGAACATAAAGCATTGTTAGTACCACAGTCACACCGAGATAAAATTTATTTTCATATAATGAGCATTTTTTGAGAATGAAAAGTTGTATGTAAACTTTACATGCTGTGCGGGTTGTCCCTCCGGATGAAGAGTTGGCAAGTTGCTTTTTTCCCCTTTCCTTGTCATTCATTCTTCGAATTCCAAAGTTGTGTGTTTAAGGGTCGATGTGGTAAGTTGTTGCTAGCTGGCCCTTGGTGATTATGAACATCTGTTTCAAATTTAAAATTATGAAATAAGCATTGAGGGAAAACATCAAATGTTATAAATTTATTTGGGACATCTATTGCCACCTCTTGAAAGCCTTTGAAAATTCAAGCAGAAATCAGTACATTTCCATTTTTTTTTTTTTACTGTCAATAAATATCTTTGTGTATATGTATATATAGATAGATATACTTAATGAGTCATTTAGCAGGATTTTTAAGTTTTACACTGCATTAATTCCAAAACAGCTCTTTCCAGATTGATAGGATGCAAATGAGGTAAGAATTAAGGCAAACCTAAAAGGCATGCAAATGTAGTACATTTATATTCACTGATAATACAAGCTCTTGTGTGTGGACCACACGGAGGAGCCCAAGACCCCGCCCTGTGTCTGTCCAGTACTATTTTACAGGAGAATGGTGATACGCCTTATAATTAAGTTACATTACCGTGGGGGGGTCTCAGTGCTACTAATATTATGTAATCAAGGAGACACGAGCATTAGCAAAACATGAACAGAAAATCATATAACTTTTTGCAGCACGTTTCTGGCCAGGCTTTAGAGGAGGGTTTTTATGAAATGATATTACACATATCACATTGTGGCAGGTGGTTTTTTTTGTTTTATAATATAAGCTTTTTAAAATTCATTAGCAAATGACATTCTCATGCACACAAGTGTTTCAAACACAAGAAGCAAGTCCATTTATAGGTAGTCCAAGCAATATTTGTGTGTGTGTGTGTGTGTGTGTGTGTGTGTAGCTGCAGACTGAATGGAACATTGAGACTTGTGCAGTCCATAGCCGTGACCTCAGCTCACTTCTGAATGTCACACTGCAGAAGTAATACAATGGAAGGGTCGCTCTTGGCAGCCTCCTTGAATTCATCCAGCGTGATCTGGTCATCTTTGTTCTTATCCATCTTGCTGAAAATCTTGTCTACTCGCTGCTCGGGCGTGAGGCCATCCTCGTTCATCTTCATCATGATCACAGTGCCCACCATTTTGTAGATGGCCTTGGGAAAACAAGAAACAGATCAGAAAGTTCCCCTATGATAAGATAAAGAATTGAAGCTTACTTCAAAGAACTCCTTAAATGGTTTTCAATAAGAGAGTAACAATAATCAGATATGTGTGTGTCTTGTGATCATTCGCATAGAGAAGAATTTTGGACGATCCCCAGGTTTCTGGCTGGAGGTAATAGGTAGAAAGTAGCTCCATGGCGAGATCAAGAATCATAGGTTAGAAGCAGGGCTGGGGAGGAAAACAGTGGGTTCAGTTTTAAACCCTCCGAGGTGAAGATGATAGTTAACAAGTGCTAGCCCTTGGAGACTTAAGAAGAGGTTAAACGTGGTCCCAACTGAGGAGGAATTTACAATCTGTTAAGACAGCAGGGTGGACCAGTAAAACATCTGCAGAAGTTGGTATAAGCAGAGGTGTGGAATGGGAACTTTGTTCATAGTTAAAGGGTAAGAAATTCCTTGCACACAATTAGTTCTCAGTGTGGAAATCTCTTAGGTAGGAATATTGTTTTTGCTTAGGAAAGTGCCTTAAAAAAATAAACGCCCATCTACATAAAGACTCGGAGATGGACAATCATGGCAACGTTGTCAATAGCCAAAAAGTCTAAACACAGGTGCTCATCAGCTGGTAAACAGATTAACAAAATATGACACAGTTATACAACTAAGTACTGTTTTTAGCAAAAAGGAATGAAATAAATCCTACAACACAGATCAAAAAAGAAGCTAGACGAAGGTCATGTGCTTATGTTGTTCAATTCCATTTATATGACATGTCCAGCAAGACAAACCCATAGAGACAAGGTAGGTCAGGAGCTTCCTGAGTCAGGGTGGGCACGGGGGAATGAAAATGTTTTCAAATTGGATTATGGTGATGGTTGCATACTCTATTAAGTTTACTAAAAATCATTAAATTGCACAGTTAAAATGGGTGGATTTATAGTCGATAAATTATAATTCAGTAAAGGTTTTAAAATGCCAGTTAGGGGATCCACACAGCATCTGTGCCCGCAGAGGTCGGTGGGTTGCTGGAAGGGGCGACACCCGGCAGAGCGGACCTAAGCCAAGAACCAGAGAAACTGAGTCCCAGGAGGTGTATGTTTGTGGGCGGTCTCGCAACGCAGGAGTGACATTAAATGCTGACTGTCACTTGACAGTCAGGGCCTAGGAGCTTGGATCTGTGACTTCCCAGAACAGTACTGGAGCAGGGACCACAGACGGGAGAACTTGAGGCTTGGTTTGCCACCAGAAGGGCTCCTGGCAGGGAAGAAAAGAAGCCACCTTAGGGCTATGCCCAAGGAAGCTGAGACACAGGCCTGCGGGTCTGCCTTCTGTGTCCCTCAGCCAAGGTCCTGGCCACACCCAAGGGAGCCCCCGAGAGAGCCCGCCGCTCACCTCGATGATCTCCAGCATCTCCACCCGGGTGATCTTGCCGTCACCGTCCAGGTCGTACATGTTGAAGGCCCAGTTCAGCTTCTGCTCGAAGCTGCCCCTGGAGGTGATGGACAGGGCGCAGATGAACTCTCGGAAGTCGATGGTGCCGTCGCCATTCTTGTCGAAGGT